AAAAAAAAAAAAAAAAAAAAAAAAAAAAAAAAAACACAAGGAATCACAGTATTTCAAGTAAGATTTCAAAATAAAATTAAAAAACCAATAAATCCTCTTCATTTGATTATAATATTTGACGCGGTTAAAGTTACTAATTATAAAATTAACAATTGAAAATAATAAAAAAAATGAAATATTTCCAGAAAATATTATAATATTACAAAAAAATATTATAACATAATGATTTAGTTCCAGCCGTTCTTATGAAAACGCAAATAAATTCACTTTTGGCCAGTGTCTACATGCGTTGGCAAGTTGTAAGTGACGGTCGCCTTCTTTAAAAAGAAAATGCTCTTCAATCAGTCGCTGCTGAACTTCTTTTTCCATACCTTCCAATTTATAGTAAATGCCTTTTAATTCTGGGTCCTTGAAGCTCTTCAGCGCGTTAATAACCTAAAAATACAACTAGATAATAGGAAACAAGCTATATCAAGTAAAATATGGAGTGTGGAAGCAATTAGATTTTTTTAAAGAATTATTATTACAGACTTTCTGCTGCATTATCAAATAATCATCTGCAGTTAGCATAGGATTGAATGGATAACCAGCAATAGTGCGACCACAACGAATCCTTAAAAATGTGACAATAGGCTAAAGAAACGCAGCACATGTGACATCTTCATATTCACACAACTGGAAGCTCACTGACAAAGTTGAAGAAGCATAAGAGACTAAAGAAGCAATAATCCCAGAAAGAAACCTCGTGGAAATAATGTACTTCCCCTCGGGGTCCAAAGGAGGAAATTCTGATATCCTCTCTTCGCCCATATCCACAGGTGGTTGTTTAGCATTTTTCGGGAATTTGTGGTAATCTTCAATGATAGGATCAAAGAGAGGGGCAAAAACACGGTAAGACTCGGCATCAGGAGCGTAAATGCCGATTTGCGCGTCTAGATTGTAAACGCCTATAATAAAAATAACGTAATTTCAGTGTTTCTAAGAAGAATACCTGCCCAATTTACCAACTATAAAAGTCGTAGCAATCATTATTCGACAATCACCAACAATATTAATAAAAAAAACGAGCTGTAAAAAAAAAAAAGATAAAACTTGAAGTGTGCGGTTCTGCTCTGGGGAAGAGAGGTTTCTTGACTTTAGTAATTCTTTAAAGAGCATTATCACTTAAAATTATAAATGACTAAATATCCTCCAAAATAACTAACTTTTCCAAGAACCAAAAACTTTTACGGTCTTCAAACTAATGCAAAACATACTGAAGAACTTCGTATTTTTCACAACAAAGAATAAGATAATTCAATAGTCTTACCAGAGCGTATCACATCATAGAGACTTGCTCCAAGCTTTGTCCTCTTATACTTGATTTGATCGAGAACTTCCTTTGTTAAATATTTCTTGAGCAAAGAATTACATTCAGAAGCCTAAATTTTGTATGTTAATTGATAAACCATCATACGAAAATCAAATAGCAAAGGCAAAAAATGCAAATTTGCCCCAAAGTCTTCATTCAAATGGTTCCATAAAGTTCCTAAATACCTTCTGCTCCCTCTCCCCGCTGTGATAATATAAATAACCCATTGTAGGTTTATAATGAACTCTGCAACAAAAATTCAATTCTTTTACTCAGTGAAAATTAACAGGTTAAATTCATCGTCCAAAAAATAGAAATAGAAGCAAATTAAGCAATAATTTTTCTTTAAGAACTTAGAAAATATCAGAGGCGTGCCAAGAACTGCTTCCAGTTCTGCCATCCAAAGCGCCTCTTAGAGATCACAAGAAGTCCCCTATTTCCCAAAACTTGAAACTAACAACAATTTTTGATATACAAGACCCTGAAAAAGCGTAATTTAAGGCTTTCTTTCCATCTTGCCCAACCACCCCATTTAAAACAATGGAACCTATAAATAAGGCAATGACTTTCTTTCACTATTACTCAACAAACAGCTAAACAATCTAAAACAGCCTTTATCAACCTTTTGCAGTTTTTCGTATGCAGTATCAATCTTTTTCACCGTAAAAGCGTCTGCTTCGTCTATCTGTAGATTTGTCAGAACAACGTCCCGAACCTAAAAATGAACTGAAATATGAAGCTTGCTTAATGCAACTTGAAATCACAAAAGTTCGACGTACTTCCTACTGGAACTAAAATATTTTTAACTAAAGCCAAATGTATAATTCATAAACTTCAGCCAAAAAACCATGCATTCAAAAAGAAAAAGTTAGACTCTGACAACCCTCTAAAATTCAAAGAAGGTATCGTATTTAAGAAAAGTCTCTAAAAACATTATCTTCTGAAACTTCCACTCGTTTCCGGCACAACAGTTTTTTAAAGTTCCAAAACATTAACACAGAAGAGTGACAAGTGTACATGACTTCAGAATATAGTGCAGTTTACTGATAGCTTCCAGCCATTATCCAAAAAAATTTTTAAAACTTTGAAAAAACTTTACACCTTTCGTATATAAAAAAATTCGCTATTGTGCCATTTCAGAACAAGTATTACAACCTGATTAAAGAAATACTTATGTTTCACATACCGAAGGATAAAAGTAGGCAACGGCTGTAGCCCCTCCTACCGCAGCTAAGAACCCTTTCAACATCGTCTTTTGCCCTTTAAGGAATGCCATTTTTGGGTGTCTTCGACTGAAAAAAGAGCACAATTATTAAAAATGAAAGAGCATCTGTGCCAGATTATGCTGTCAGGACATTATTTCTAACAAGTAAAGTAACAATACTTTATAATGATCGCTTCAAGCAGAAAATTTTATTGTCAACTATTGATATATTTAACGTTCAGATGCGTTGCAAAATACATAGGACGAATGAAGAATAAGAAACACCTGAAAAAAACTAGCCATCGGTTTAATGCACTCATTTAAACAGCCTGGAACTAGCTGGATACAGCAGTGGGCGCAAAACATGCAATACTGGTATACTTTTTGTTAAACTTTTTATCGTCAACTTATCGAGCAAAAATTTTATAGCAAAATAATACAAGAAAAATCAGGTGTTTCCGTACATGCAAGCGGTAAGATTAAATTGTTAAAAAAAAAAAAGAAAAAACAATAAAATCATCCACGCACTGCTCCAAATAACAATTCTGATTCAGAAATTGTGCAACTTAATAGTTTACGATCCATACTTCAAGACCAAATCATTCTGTAAATGCAAGCTTTTTGCCCTGCAGTATATATATATTGAATTGCACAGAAATGCTTGAAAAATACTTAAAGATTGGCTAATTGCCATTAAATAGAATCTTCTTGTTAAGATTTAGAAAATTTTGCAGGATACGACAAAACTTTGAAAAATTGTTTGGTTCTATCCTGCAGTATGATACCGCTGGATGGGTGTTACAGCTTAGATGAAAGAATCATTCGTTGCCAGGAATTGGAAATGTGAACTTCTGTGCTTACAAGTCTGGACATCAATATTTTAATTATTAACAAACACTTGATCGACTAGGATAGGAAACTTTTCAGTCTAAGATTGTTGTGCTGAGGATTGACAATCGTCAACTTTTTTTAAACACTTTTTTGCCAATGTTATTTGGCTTGAAAATTTGATTATACCCCTATCGGGAAAGATTTGACTATTGTTTGATGGCTTTATATTAATGAATAAAAACGAACAATTAAAAATCTAATGATGATAACAACTGTGATTAAATTCTGACAATGATATAGACAATGACGGCTTTACCTGCGAAGTTACAGACAAATTAGGCACTAGGCATTAGGACTAGTGCTATAAAACTTTGTTCAAGTGATTATTAATTAAGTTTTTTTGCAGCAGACGTTTAAGAAGGAAACAGCAATAGAAAACAAATTTTTTTCAATGTAATTTGTTTCATAATTTTGGTCTTTTTTAAATATAGCTCCTTTCTAATTTTTTATCACTTTATTTTCACCAAAAATTTTCGACTAAATTGCATAGGTGCCGTTGCTGTTCAAATCGATTTTGCACTTAAAATAATAAGAGTGCAGCATAAATATTTCATTACCTGGTCATTTATTCTACCATTATTTGCCAGTACACAGACGTGGACAGTCAAATTGAATAGTTTGAGGAATAATATAGTTGAGAAGTATTTGAAAAATGAGGGGACAGAGACCAGGTTGACTTTATTCACTTTTTTTTCTAACTCCAAACTGTTACAGCTTTTGTATTGCAAATCAATTTTAGAGAAAGTGTATATTTGTGCTATACTCAGTCATCTCATAGGTTTTTTTTGCGGGGTAATGGTGGATGGAAAACAAAAGAGATGCAGCAAAGGAAGTTAGAGGTTGGAGTATTGCTTTCTGTATCTACAAAAAGAAGAAAAAAATGAATATTCTTTGTTTGTTTAACGCCGACGACACCGATACGCACGAACCGATGACGAATGATACAGATTGATCTGTGTATCTGAAGGTGCGCTCAAAATATAGATGTCGATGTGCTTTTTTGATTCTGTCTATATGTTAGTTGTTTGCTGAGAGCTAGCAACCAATTACTAAAATTAGTTTTTCGAATTCTTTCTAAAATTTATTATTTTCCTTCTTTATCATTGTCAGGATCAAAGGAATAAGTTTTTTTCTTTACTTTCACTTTCAATCTGTGCGATAATTGAATCCTGTATTAGTCTTAGCTATGAATTTTCTACTGCTTTGTTGAATATTAACAAAAACAGTTATTATTCTTTTGGAAAAGAAATAATTTCAGTAAATTTATTTTGATCTGTTGGAAATTTTTTTTTACTTGTTATTGTCATTGTTGCTTGTTGAGTTAAACTGTTGTTGAGTATTTGTGGTCACCTATCAA